TTCCAGGCAAAGGCTCTCCTTGGTTGCCTAACTCATTTGGAGCCAGCAGTCTGCTCGTTGTGCCCTCGTGTTTCAGAGCACAAACCGTCAGTCCCAGGGTGCTGCTCAGGCCCCATGCAAAGGCTCAGCCTCACATTGCCCCACCAACACATCGCAGCAGCTTAGCAGAGCTGCCAGTCGCTGCCCGGTGGCTGTCCCCGCCAGCCATGTCCCCTCTGGCCAGGGGTGTGCGTGGTTATGCTAGCTGGGTCAACCCTGCTTCTGTTCCATGCTGCTTGGGAGCATCTGCCTGCACCCCTGTGCTGGGGTCCCCACGTCTTCCGTGCCTGCGGCAGGGCTGGCACTGGGGGAGGGCTCAGCAGAGCCAGCCACGCTGCTGGCATGTCCATCCTGCCCGGGATAAACATGAAGCTGGTTGGTGCTGGGCTGGGTCAGAGACAAGGAGGATGGATTTATCAGTGAGCAAGTGCTGGCCATGGCTGAGGACAGTCCGTCGTGCACTGCCCCGCTGGAAGGGCTGAAGCAAAAAACTGATGCTCACAGCTGGGTTTCTGTGCCCCTCCACACAAACCCAGGCTGACAGGGCTGCTGTCCAGATCACAGTGGAAAAGGGGAGGCACCTTCTGGGGAGCCTCTTCCTAAAAAGCAGCAAGAGGACATCTCTAGCTCAGCCGAGCCAAGGTCTGCCTCCTTGCAAGGGTGCTGCCAGAGATGCTGCTCTCCTTGGCCTGCCCTCAGAGACCTGTCCCAGCCACAGAATGCTGTTGGATTCAGGCTGAACAAAGGGTTTCAAATGAAAATGTTGTCCCAACCACCCCTCAGCTGTTCATCCATCCAGCAGTCCAGCTTTTCCTCTGTCCATTCTTCTACCTACTCCTCTGTCCAACCCCAGACATGCTTCTATTGCCCCATCCCTCCCCAGCCACCCCCCATCCCTCCCTTCTTCTATCCCTCCATGTCCCCAGCAATCCCCCCAACTCTCCCCAGCCATCCCCAGCCACCCCTCAGTCCCTTCATCCAAGCAGCCTTCCACCCCTCCAGACCACATTCCCTTCCACCCCTTCCACCCCATCCACTGTCTTCCCCCCTAAAAAGCCAAACCAGGATGTCGCCCTGCTCGGCCATTTCAGAAAGAGAAACCAGATAACATGAAGAAGCCAAAAACGACATTGCACCTGCAGGTCTGCATTCCACCTGGTGTGAGACCCAGAGGTCACCTCTTCCTGGACACCCTTTGCTGGGCACCCTCTGAGATGGGTACTCGTGGTGGCAGTGGGACATAGCAGCTGCAGAGTTTCTGGGAAGAGAAGAAAGACGTTTCTCCTGCCCACACGATGGAGAAGTGTCACTCCCTGGGACACCTGCTGCCATCAGGGAGAAGTGGGAGCCGCCTGCAGTCCCCGTGCTGATGCATCCCAGACCTGGGAGCATCCTTGGGGTGACACAGCCCCCCAGGCATGGAGGTCTGCAGAGCGACAGCGACTTTAAGGCATGGGGGCTTGGCACTGAAACCCCTGTAACTACCTTGTGGTGGGATGTGAAGGTTGTGTATACCCCAAGAAGAGCCTAAAATGACCCCATGCCGCCAGAGTGGGGTGGCCAGCTCCAGCCCCAGCCTGGGAGGGATCTGGGGGGGCTGGGACCTTTGCACCGAGTCCCAGCATCAAACACCACAGCAGCTTTGGGTCAGCAGCAAACCAGGTTGAAACTATGAGCTGTGCTGTCCTGCATGAAGTGCTGTGGACCCCCGGTGCTGCTGACCACAGCCTGCCTGGCCACCCCGCCACCCCCGCCCAGAGGGGCTCGCCCTGATGGCACGGACGGAGCCCAGAAAGCCTTGAGAAGGGGCAAAATATGAAGGCTGGAAGAGAGGCCAGCCTGGCCAGTTAGACCAAGCCGCTGGCTCCTCCCCGGCACTGAACAGAAGTCGATTGTGACTTTTTTTTTTAAAAAACAAGGTAACTCCTATTCGGATCTGCAGGCTGCAGCATTATCATAGTCATACAAATGTCCAACAAAGCATCTATTTAAAATGTACTGAATTTTGATTACAGCCCGTCCCCTCTCTCTCGCCCGCTCGCCGTCTTTCTTTCTCATTCATTACTTACTGTGTTAAGCTCCCTGAAATTCAAATAAAATCCCACCTCCTCCCCCCCCCATCCATATGCGTTGGTGGATTCAGCTCGAATGGCTGGGCTTGACGGATGACGAGCAATAGAAGAGAAGACAAAGCTGTCAAACCTCGCCGGGCTGTGTTGACTTCCCATCGCCCCCGCGGACGGAGGGGAGCCCGATCCATCTGGTTTGGAGTCAGTAGCACAAACAAAAGCAAAAGACAATGGCAGGAAGCACTTGAAAGTTCAAATTCTTGCTTTGGTTTCTCTTGGAACAACAGCACCTACGTAATGTGGCTGGCGGACAATAACGTGCAGCCAGGGACACGCAAAAATGCCAGAAGAATGTGCTTACGCCACCAAACGATCCAATATTTTTGTTTTATTGGAACAAAAATAGAAAAGGGAAAAAAAAAAAAAAAGAAGACAAAAAAAGCGCAAGTCTTTGGAGTTCCTAGATTTCTTGGATAGGGTTTCTGTAGAGAGCAGAGCTGCAAAGAGGGGAGGCCACAGGCTGCGCAGGGAGCCCGGCACCGGGCGGCTGCTGCTCGAGGGGCTCAGCCCCAGGGGGGTCGGGGTTTGGCTGCACCCTCAGCACGTCCCCGCTGCTGGGACTGTCGCACGTGGGAGCCCGGGGACACAGTGAGGCTCTGCAGGCGCTGGGCTCAGCGCCAAGGGGGTGCGATTTGTATTCACCACCCAGCCCAAATCCCCTGCAAGGGGGCTGCCAGGGGCCCCAGCCCGCTCTGCCCACCATGGGGCGAGATGAGTTGTGTGCAGAAATGTTGCATTTCCTCAGAGAAACCCGTCCTTGAGGCTGTGGCTGGCCTGGCCGGGCTGACTGAAGCCCTGAGACAAGGTGAATGGTGAGAAGCTGCAGGGCTGAGCCGAGCCAGGCTGATCCCAGCCCTGTGGCAACCCAAAGTGGGCACCTGGATGAGATTTTTGCAGCATCCCACATCTGGGGAGACAGTCAGGGGTGAGCTGCACCCGCAGGCGTAACCCTGCAGTGCCCCAGCCCTGGGGAGCACCGTGATGGTGGGAGGTTTGGTGGCACTTGCCAGCAGATCAGTGTCATACAGCGTCCAAGTGGGACAAAACTGTAGCACGGCAGGAGACAGGAGCAGTGCTTGCCCCACACACACGTCCCACAGATTTGGCCACAGTCAGTGGCTGCCGCAAGACCCCGGGTGATAAACCCGCAGGACCACCAGCAGCTGCAACTAATGGTTTTGGCATCATCTTTTTTTTCCTACTAAAAACCAGATGGGTCACTCGGTGCCCGTCTTTTCCATGCTGGGCTGCAGCCTGGGTGGGCTGTGTGTCCCCAGGGCACCCTGGGGCAGCCAGCTGTGTCCGTGCCAGGCACTGTCCCACTCTGGTACTGGATGGCATGAGGCTTGGCACATCAGAGTGGATGTTGGCCAACCTGGAAAGGTCACACCGAGCCTTTTCTCCCGATTTCCTTCCCACCGCCATTTGCAGGACACCATTCCTGGCATCCCTGGAAACCCACACCCCAGAGCCAAACTGGGCATGGCACAAATTTCCTGGAGATTTGGGCATTTCCAGAGCTGGCAAAATTATCGGTATAGAAAAAGCCTCACTCAAAAATCCCACACTGCTGCCAGCGAGGGAAGCTTGCCTGCACCCTGCCTTCAGAGCCCTGGCTGCAGGCAGAGCCCAGGCGGTGCAGGCACGGGGCTGCCTCTTCTCTTCCCACTTCCCGGAGCAGCCAGATCCTGCCTGGAAAGCCTCCAAAGGTGCAGGGCTCAGCCCGCTTTTGGGCAGAGAGGACAGAGATGCTTTTGGGGCTGGAGAGCTCATGCCAATCCTCATCCCATGCCCAAATTTGCAGGGGCCAGCTGAAGCCACCACCAGTCTGACAGCAGCTTCTAGCTAGAAGCGACCCCTTCCTCACAGCCCAAGGGCTTGGCGAGGACCAAGCCAGCTCAAGCCCTTGCTGGGGCCCAGGTTGGAATAAAAAAGGCTGGGAAGCTTTGCAGGGAGCCATGGATTCCTCAGCCAGCGAGCCTGGGGCTGCAGAGCCAAACATGCAGCCCATTTCCACAGTCCATGGGAGGGGTTGCAGGACGGGCTGCAGAGCTCCCAGCTCCCTCCCTTGGAGCAAAGAGCTTCTGTAGGAGCCTCTCAAACACCACACGCTCTGTCCAGCATCAGGTCTGGGCCATCACCAGCCCCTGAATGCCGGGATAGGGCAAACCAGGACATCCCCCAGAGCCTCGGGGAGCTTCCCCCCGCCTGTGGGAAGGGGCTGGCAAAGCCTGAATGCTCTAGCATCCCCTCCCTCCCCCAAATCCACCCCAACCATCACCTTCTGGGGATGCATTTAACCCCAGAAAAGCTACATGCTTGGATACCAAAAGAGGGACCTGGGGGCCCAGCCAGCCGCCCCACCACCACAGGAACCACCCAGCATCACCCATCACCATGTGAGAAAGAACAAACAAAAAAGCCTTTTTTTTTTTTTTATAAAAAGATCAATGAAAAATTTATTTATAAATTTCGCACTCTGGGACTACATGTCTATATCATACACTCAGGAATATGCTGTACTGTACAGACTTTATCCAGTTAGAAATGATCATATAGTGACCCACATACAGCTTCAATATAAGCCTAAAAATTCTTAACATTAATTAACATAATTAAAAAAGGTATTCGCATCTAAAGAAAAATCTACAGAAAAACTCCTTTCTGGAGCAATCTGTGCATCAGCTTCAATGTCTGCTTATTTCACTGACATTATCAATATATTCTTCTTACAAAAATAATAATAATAATTAAAAAGATGACTGCCGGAAGGCGACCAGTCATGCATGAAAGAGCCTCCCCCACCTGCCTCTTTTTTTTTTTTTTTTTTTATTGTACTCCCCGTTTTGGCGTGAAGGGTCAGCAGCACGATGAGCCAACAAGGGGGGTGGGGGAACCCTCATTTCAATTTGAATCAATCTGCATCCCTTTTACTTCTCAGGATCAAGAGAGACGGGGGAGTGTGGGGGTTGCATAGAAAATTGAAACTTTAGGGACTAGGAAGGGCAGCAGCTTTTCAGTAAAATACAAAGGGATGTAAAAATACATCAACTCACAATTTCAGAGCAAACCCCCTTCCCCGACGTACAGTTTCCCAAAATCTCAGCGTGTCTAAAGCTCCAGGAGGCTGGAAAGGAACAATACTTTTCTTAAACAACTCACCCAGCAATTCACACAGGAGATTCACAGTCTTAATAGGTATTTTATAAAAATATAAATATGGGTTACATCATGTTGTCTTTACAACACTGGACAGAGCTCCCTTTAGACTGGGTTTATAACCAAGATTTCTTTTTAAAAATCCATCTAGAACTTGGCTTTACAATACACTTTTTAATATCATGTCATAAATGTTATGACATTTCATTGTGGCAAATCCATTTAGTCAAAAAAAAAAAAATGTGCAACCATCTGGTAACGATGATAAAACCTTGCTAGAAAAGATCTTGTTCCCACCCCGTAACTATCGCACAGAAGCACCAGTGGAAGTGCTGGACACTCCCTTCCATGCTCACAGAAAGACTTCGGCCAAGCAATTCCTTGCAAATTACAGCATTAACAGTAGACACCTTCGACAGAGCTTTTTTTCGTTTTCTTCTTCAAATCTGGAGCTTTTAAAAATCATCTCAAATTGTTGAAGTGGAAAAAACCAAAACCAAACTGCAGGTGAAACCATCAGAGACAAAGCAGAATATTCAGTGCAATGGAAAATCATGCAGACTCAAGTTTTTTTAGTTTTAAGACTAGGAGAAAAAAAAAAAGCATATTTCCCAAACCATATTTTTGAAACACTCACCACCAGCTTCAAACAAAACCAGGCTCACAATCTTCACCCACAAATATATACATACATGATAAATAGTTAAGACACAACCCAAATAAACCAGCAGGTAACTATTTTCTTTTTTTTTAATCATAATGGTTTGGATGCAGGGAGCAAGAGAAGAAAGAGCAGGGAGATGGCAGTGATACGGATGGTTTTAGTGCAGACGAAGAGAAGAGGGCTGAAAGACCAGTGGGAGAAAGGAGACTTCTGAAATTTTCCGCATTTTCCAAATGGATGTTCTTGTGCCATAGCAATAAAAAGCAGCATTTGCGATTATACGTGCAGTCACTTCAAAATGCGACTTCGGGTGGCTTTCTCTTCTTCCTCCCTTTCTTTTATAAATATATATATTTAGACATATATATAATATAAAAGGCAGGTGAATCTACATACATCAAATGAATCGTTCTGCATTGAGAAGTGTTATCCAAGTTTCACCAAAAGAAAAAAATAAAGTTCCCAAACTATTTTCAGTAGTTTTCCGGCATCTCTCTAGGCAGCAGAGAGCGCTCGCGCCCCTTTTCTGTGCAAAAGCAAATCCTCTGCCTCTAGAGTTTATTTCACTTTTATTTAAAAAAAAAAAAAAAAAAAGAAAAAAAAAAGTCCAGGATTTTCTAATCCCCCTTTACATACAGAACCAGAAGGATTCAATGTCTTTTCCTGGGATCTCATGCGTGCTAAATGGATTCAAGGAGTGGGTGAGGATGCAGACTTTCTTCAGGCACCCAAAAAAAAAAAAAAAAAAGAAAACTAAAGCAGAAAACTCAATGTGAAATAAAACAAACAAAAAAAAAGAGCAATCGGGGTGAGAAAACCTTGTCTGTCATATTCCAATGGAGTCACCTTGGGGAGGGGATGGAATAAAAACAAAAAAAAAATTCAGTGGTGGGAAAACACTGGGAGAAGCTTGCAAGAGGAGGAAGACTTTCCCGCTCTTCCTCGCCAGGGCGGGCGGGAGCCCCCGGCCCGGCCCGGGGTGTCGCTCCCAGGGCTGGCACCGCTCTGCGCGCCGGGAGGGGACACCAGCACCCCCCGGCCACCGCGGGGACAGGCAGGGGGGCTCCCGGGGACCGTTGAAATGAATTTGTTTCTGAGCCAGAATACTTTAAGTCGGAGGGATGGGAGCGAGGGGAGTGGAGAGGGAGGATTAAATATTAGCGGGGAGGGGACGGGGTGAGCCTTTAAAGCATCTGACCAGATGTCAAACTGAAACCGTGAATACTGTGAGTGCAGCCGAGGTAGATGGAGGAAAAAACAAACAAAAAAAAAAAACAACAAAAAAAAAAAAAACCCAAAACAAAATAAAAACATATTACAGTAGGAAAACAACCCTTGGAAGGAAAAAAAAAAAAATTTTTTTTTAAAAGCAGGCGAATGGTGGCGTGTTTTGCGTGGGGCCCCAAATCTTCGCCAAATAAACCCCACGCGGGGGTGGGAGCAGCTTTGGCGGCCGGGGACGCGGGGCGGGGGGGGGGGGGGGGGCGGCCCCGGCATCACCGGGCGCCGGCGGAGTATTTGGCCTTGGTGATCAGGTAGAGGACGATGTCCTGGTGGCCCCCGAAGGCGGCGATGTGCAGGGCGCTCCAGCCGTCCCGGTTGGCCAGGCGGATGTCGGCGCCGAACTTGACCAGGAGCTTAACCAGCTCCAGGTTGCCGTCGATGACGGACTGGTGCAGCGCCGTCTGCCCCTCGGGCCCGAAGGAGTTGACGTTGAACTCGCAGTTCGTCATGTTCTGCAGCAGCGACTGCAGCTCCTTGGTGTTGCCGCGCCGCACCGCCTCCTGGAAGACGCGCTGGCTGGGCGGCGGCGCCGCGCACGGCGACACCTCGCTCTGGCTCATGCCGCCGCCTCACGCCCCGCCGCCCCGCATGGACGGCGACGCCTCGGCCCGCCCGGGCATGCGGTGGCGGGCGCTGCTGCTGCTGCTGCTGCTGCTGGGCCGCCGCCGCCCCCCGGGCCCCGGCCCCCGCCTCCGCGCTGCCGCCGCTCCGCCGCTCCGCCGCCGCCGCCGCCCGGGCCCCTCTGGAGTGGAGCCGGCCCCGCGCCGCGCCTTTTACCCACCCTTTTATTTGCATAACAATGGCACGGCCGTGACGCGACGGCGAGGGGCGGGGCACCGCCGCCGCGAGCCCATTGGGACGGCCGGCGGGGGGAAGGGGGCGGGGACGAGGCGAGGAGCCACGCCCCCCCTCCCGGGGAGCGGAGCCGGGGCGCCCCTCCCCCTTCCCGTGAGCTGCGCGGGTGCGGCGAGGCGGGGGGCGCTCCCGGCCCGGCTCGGGCCTGCTCGGCTTCGCTCGGCTCCGCTCGGCTCGGCCCGGCGCGGCCCGGGGCCCCGCTCGGCTCCGCTCGGCCCGGCCCGGGGCTCCTCTCTGCTCTGCTCGGCTCCGCTCGGCCCCGCTCGGCCCGGCCCGGGGCTCCGCTCGATGCCACTCGGCTCCGCTCGATGCCGCTCGGCTCCGCTCGGCCCGTTGCGGTCTGTCCGTCCCGGCCCGGCGCGGTGGCCGCAGGCAGGGGGCACCACCTCCCAGGGCCGGGCCGGGCCGTGCCGGGCGGCTGCAGCCGGCCCCGCCGCCCGCCGCTCTCTGCAGCGCCGTGCTGGAACCGGGCTGGCCCCGTTCCCAACCCCCACCCGCCGCGCCTCCGGGCCCCCACCGCCCCCAAACCCCGCGGGGCTGGGCTTCCCCAAGGTGCTGAGGCGCTGCTGTTTGTGGTTTGTTTTATTTTTTTTGTTGTTGTTTTTTGTTTGTTTGTTTGGAGTTTTTTTCAATCACCCTCCAATCTGGGGGTTACACCGTTTTGCTGCGTGTTTGTCTACCCGTGAGCAAACCGGGACAGGTCACAGGGAGGGACGGAGGGGGATTCAGCCCCGCAGCGTCCGGCCCCTCAGGGCAGGAGGTTTCGGGGATCCGCGGGTGGGACTGATTTTTGATGAGGGACACGCAGCCCCCGCAGGGTCCTGCCGGACCTGGAGTTACTCCGACGAATGGACTCCCGGTGCAGGAGCGCTGGGTGGTGCGGGCACCCCGGGAAAATGGGCAAAAATGTACTGAAACCAGGGCATCGACCAAAAACCATGCTGGAGGAGCCCTCCGTGTGCCCGTTTGGCCGGCAGGGAGCAAACGGTGGGGCCTGGGTGGGGAGCGGCATCCCAGAGCGGAGTGGGACGAAAGGAAGGAGCGTGTCGTAAACCCGAGGTGACAGCCCCCGCGCCGGGGACAGCTGGCCGCACGCCGCTGCCACCAGGCCATACCGGTGCGCCCCTTTGGGGATGGAAAGGGAGAAACCAGGCAACTGCGACATTCGGCCCCAGTCGATGAAACATGCCGCCTCGGAGCCGCGTGTCACACGGTGTCACGCCGTGGCCGTGAGCTCAGGGCATGGCTCACCCCACGGCATTTTCCCATGGCTTCCCTGCAGCTCTTGGGGGAAGGCAGCAAGCTGGAGGAGGCTGGGACTCTCCTCCTGCCCTCGCTGGTCCTTCTCCTTTACTGGAGGTTAAACCATCCTGATTGGGGCTGTAAGGAGTTGGCGAAGCAGCTCCTGTTTCTCCTCACATAAGGGCCTACCTTTCTAAATCTATTCCCGCAGTTAGTTCTTCTCATCCCCATCTCCATTCCTATTCCATTCCCATCTCCATGCCCATGCCAATCTCCCCATCTCCATCCCATCCCTGTCTCTGCCCTCATCCCATGTCCATGCCCATGCCCATCTCCATCCCCATCCCCTCCCCTTTCATCCCATTCCCATCTCCATCCACATCCCCATCTCTTCCCCCATGCTCATCCTATCCCATCCCCATCCATCCCTGGCTGCTCTCTGGGTCTCGCTCCGTTTGACTTCCCCAGCTCAGAGCTCTCTCCTAGTCACATTCCTGTAATGGGAGCATACCGAAGCACACATTTCTCATGGAAAAGGGAGGGTTGGGATGTGGCGGTGGCCAGGGGCTTTGTGGCTGGCTCAGCCCGGGGGCTACCACTGCAGAGGGGCTGCAGACAGTCCCCTCCAGTGTCCTGGGTCTGTGCAGCTTCTCCTGGGACATCCCGGCGCCACTGAGGCGTGTGGCCCCCGCAGTGCTGGCACAGGTCACGGAGGTGGGCCCCGGTCCTCAGGGTCCACGCAGGAGCCAGGTTTGCCTGAGGACAGTGAAGAGGAGCCACCCCCTGCTTGTCTTGTCCCCCCGAGGGCCTCGTCTTGGGCGGGAGGTGGTGGCTCTGCCCCCCATTACCCCAGCCCTGGTGGCAGCAGGGGACACCAGTGGCCCATCCGTGCCCTCCTCTCCCCCATGTCGCCTCGCTGGGGTGAGCAACAGGACATGCTGTGACTCACGGTGACTCAGTGGGAGTTATGATTGTGCCCAGGGGCCCGGCCCGGCCCCGCAGCGTTCGTGGGGTGCCGAGCCCACGGCAGCCCGGCCCCGATCCCCGGCACTAAACCCCACAAACCCAGCGCGGGGGGGTGGGAGCGGTGGCGGGAGCCTGGGGCTCGGGGCCCCGCTCCTGCCGGCTCGCCCTCCCCTGTCCACTCCTAAATATACCGGCAGAGTGGATTTTGTGCATTTATGGGCCGTCTCCTGTAAGGTGTCGAGCCCTCTTAGCGAGCCGTGGGAGAGTGGGAATTGCTCACACCTCCCCGGTCTTGGGCTTGGCCAGAGTTACATCCTCGCAAGCAAATCTGCATTTGCCAGTGACACTGGTGAGAAAAATAAAGAGCCCGGGCAGGGACCCAGCCATGCAAATGTTCAGAGCTGGCAGGTGGGGGCAGGACTCAGCCTGGGAACAGTGCCAGAGAGGGAGAGAAAATAGCAAAAAAGCAAGAAAAAAAAAAAAAAAAAAAAAAAAAAAAAAAAAAAGCAATTCTGAAACCCTGCATTCCTGCATTTCAGCTCCAGTTTGTACCCCAGCGCTGTAACCGGAGAGGAGCCGATGGAGTGTGCTGGCCGGGCCAGGCTCCGCTCACGGCTGGGGCTGGGGGGGCGGCGGGCGCTGGAAGGCCCCGGTCCTCCCACCCCACGCTCCCCCGGTGGGGCCCTGCAAAACCAGTAGTCCCACCCAGTGATTTATCTGCTCTCTTCTGAGAAGAGGGGAAGCCGCGGCGAGCGCCGGCGCTGCAGACGGCGGCGGGAGGCGGGGAGAGGGACCCGGCGCTGCGGTGCCTTAAGCAAACGGTCACGCCGAAAACAAATTTCCCCTCCTCGAGAGACGTGGCGACCAAATTTCCCCCTGGCCATGAGAGCCTGCGGGCGAGAGGAGAAGGGATGGCTGCCGGCGGCGTTGCCGGAGGGGCTCCGAGCTGCCCCGCGGCTGGGCGCGTTGGGCTGGGCACGTCCCAGCCCTCTTCCAAAATAACCGGGCGGGCAGTGCCCGGCCTCTGGGCCTGGCGAGCAAGCCAGTGAGAGTCCAGCCACCCCCGGAGGCCTCCTTGAAGCGAGCCGGAGAGCCGGGGGGATGGATCCGGGGCAGGCGGCGAGGGGGCGTGCCCCCACTTAATTCATTAAAATGTGTCGGAGAGCGTGGGAAAGACGAGAGCTTTTCTTCCCAGCGCAGAGCCCCAGCAAAAGGCGAGCGAGGGAGAGCGACCTGCCCGCCCGGCTCCCGGCGAGCCGGGGGAAGCGCAGGGCTTTCCTCCGCCGCTGGCCCCGCCGGTGCTTTGACTCCCGGCTTTTTGGCAAAGCGGTTACCGGAGCCCCGGCGGGGAAACGCGGGGCTCAGCCAATGCCACCTGCCCGCCCGCGGGGCTGTGGGCAGCGGGGGAGCCCACGCGGGGCCGGGGACAGTGGTCGCTGGGTGGGATCAGCGTCCCTTGTGGAGATCCACCTTCGGGAGGGAGGAGGGGGGGACCCCTGCCCCGGGCAGCTGCTTTTGGCAAGGGAGCAGTGGGGAAGGGGCTCCGGGGGGTCTCAGGGGAAAAATCTTCCTCTGTGCAGCCTGAGAGCTGCCCTGCTCACAGCGGGGTGCAAGCAGGGACACGGCCGTGGGACTGGCCTCGTGTTCTCCCCGTGGACACATCCTATGCTGCCAGCCTTCAGCAGCAGCCAAGCAGTGCCCCGCGTGGGGCTGGGCCCCTGCCAGGCCTCCAGGCAGGAAGCTCCAGAGGTCAGAAGCTGGGATTTGCAAGAGAAACCTCGTGCTCATGTGGTGAGGACACGTGTGCAGGTGCCTCGTGTCCTCTGCAGGGAGCAAGGCACCACGAGCAAAATTCTCATGGGTGGTTCAGGGAATCCCTGGGGACAAGAGGAGGCTCCAGGCATCCCCCATCCTCCTGGGACACCCACATCATGGGAGCCACCACAGGAGCATGGATTGGAGACTGCTGCTTCCTGCAGATGTCACCATGGCTTCTGCTCTGCATGATCCCTTCCTCCCAGCCTGTGACAATCAGGATTTAAAACCTGACTGAGACTTGAGCATGGTCATAACCTAATGCATAGTCATTGTCCTTGGGGGGTGATGCAGGCGGGGGCCACCCCTGCACACCTCGCCCCAGGGCTGGAGAACCCCGACTGCCCACGGGGGCTGTGTTGATTGGTGCCGAGCTGGACAGGTTGGGCCTTCGCACTGCAGCTTGGCCTACAAGTGTCCCAGTGCCCTGTCTTATCTGTTCTTATCCTGCTGAAATGCTGCAGCTCTTCTGATGTAGACTATAGCCCTCATATCTGACAGTGGGAAAATGCTCTTCAGGCAAAGGAACACCAGCTGGAACAACCTCCGATCTGGAGAGCTCCTGCCCGGTGCCACAGGCAGGGCTCTCTAGCTGTGCCAGTTTCCTGATGCTGCTGGGCCACCCTGTGGCATCACCTTGGCTGATGTCCCTGCCGCAGCCGAGCATACATGTGCCAAAGTGCCTTGGCTCAAGCCCATGTTCTGCTAAACTGGCATTGTTAAATGTACCTGGCCTGGTGTGCTGACAATTGCTTGTAGGGCTTCTGGTGCTGGAAAACTGGTACATGGAGGGACCAAATATCCACTTCGTGGGTGATGATACAGTCAACTGGGGACACAGACCCT